TTGTTCTCATCCACTTTCAAATTGCTAATCCTCTCTAAAGTAGAACTGTTTCTGCGGGTTTTTAAGTGCTTTTAAGCCCACTGCCCTCCCCCATTTCCACCTCTCTGTCTCTTTAGGCTGACGTTCCCTCCCTGTTCTGTTTTCTTTCCCTCCTTCTCCAAAGACAAAAGAGGATGTGTCCTCCCACTCAGGCAAACTTTTAAAAAGCGAGAGACAGCACAAGTAGGAATCAGTAAATATAAAGGACTAGGGGATTCCCTGCTCCCAAATGTGTCAGTCACCCTTCCCTTCCCTTTTTTTTTTTTTTTTTTTTTGAAGTAGAGAATCCAGGGAGAAAAAACCTGAAGGGAAGAAAGAGAGGTCAGTGCAAGGAAAAAAGGAAAGATGACAGGCAAAAGTTTGGCAAAGCCTAAAAACGCTGCTCTCCCTCTTGAGGCAGGAAAAGAACTGAGGATGAGGGTGACTCCCACACAGGAAACAGGAAGTTCTTGGAAGTCCTGCCTCCCTGAAAGGAGGGTGGGAATCACCCACAATCAGATGTCCTCCAGCTCAGAGGGAGAACAAGGATTTTCTTTGCTTACATAATCCCAAATTTAATTAATGACAAACAAGTCAACTTTCTCAAGAGTTGTGTAAAGTGCTGTCAAGTCACACCCAACTTACAGCAGTCCCAGCAAGGTGCTTTCAAGGCAAGTGAGAAGCAGAGGTGGTTTGCCATTGCCTTCCTCTGCAGAGTCTTCCTTGGGGGTCTTCCTTCCAAGTACTGACCCTGCTTAGATTCTAAGACTGGGCTATACCATGGCACCTTCCCTCTTTCTCAAGAGCTAACAAGTTAGAAATGTATCATTGTGAAGCATAAACATGTGAAAGGACATTACAGGAATCATGGGTCTGAAAGTGGCAGGTGCTATTTATTCCTTCTTCCACACACCCCTGCAAACACAGACTTTTAATAGTTTCAGTGGACAATTAACCTAAATAAAGGCTTTTATGCAGGCTGCAAACAAGAGACCTGGCATCCTTTTGCAAACTGCCATTTGCCACATAAGCAGCTGCAGACCAGTTAAGGCTTTGCCTGAGTCAAGTTACATTGGCAAAAGTAGCCCTACTTCAACTTGTGGTGACAACTAAGAGCATTTGGTCTATACCTTACACTGTGGAAATGACATTCAGGTTCACAAAAAGAGACTGAGCTGCGAACCTGGAAGTCTGTGGTTCAAGCTGTTCCTTGATCAGCAATATTTGACCAACCTTGCACGGCTATTGTAAGGATTACTGAGATAGTCCGTGTGAACAGCTTTGCCTATTCTGAAGTGCCATGAAAATGTTGAATATTATTTTTAGGACTACAGATACAACAGCACCCAGTATTTGATAAAACGACCCTGTAAATAAGATGGTGTTAAGTTCAAAATTCAACATAGTTGCTCTGAACTGGCAGTGGTCACATGTTGCAACACATGGAAATATTACAGACTTTACACTTCATGCTAGAGAAGAATACTGGTCTGCTTTAGTCACCATTTATCTACAAAATGGTCCTCTTTTCTAAATACTGAGTTGCTTGTGTTCAGCCAACCAGTTGAGAGCACAACCCGGGGCGGGGGGGGGGGGAACGGGACATCCATTAGCACTTTCCACTGTGTTACAATACAAAAGACAGAAAGTAAAAAGTTACAGATCCATCCTCACGTTCAAAATAAAACACAAAAGTAAGTAATCCAAGCTTCAATGGTGTATTACTTCTCATAGTTCTGCATACAATATGCAGCAGAACTATGTTAAACTCAAATAGCACACAGACTAGTCAAAAGAGTCCTAGGCCTTGGCCTAGCTCAGTGTGTACATCACCTAACCAATGGCCTTAAGAAAAAAAAACGTATCTCAATGATAGCAACATTTAAGAATATTCATAACAAGAAACTGACTTCACATTTATGCCGTTCCCATTTTTATTCATTTATGAAGGAAGTTCATATGCCAGACCTGCTCCAGGCAGCTCACAGCTAACGATACAACTAATAAAAAAACAAGTCTATAAAAGTCTACAAAAACAAATCATACCAATAAAAAAGCCGAATCAGTAAATGAAAACAAATCCACAAAAACAAGCCAGAGCACAGAAGTGGATAAAACAAACAAAGCAGAACATAAAGCTGCTAAAAAAGCTTGAATCCCTTAGTTAAAGGCCCGAGATGACAGGGCTCTTTTGGCTTGGGCCAAGGTAGGAACCAGGTGAGCCTCAAGGAGGAGGAAGGCATTCCAAGGGCAACATATTGCCATCAAAAAAGCCCTGAGTTGCCACCCACCTTATCTCTGCAGATTAGGTCACAGATAGAATGGCTTGTGAAGAGGATCTTAACTGGCAGGCTGGACCATTCTTCCTTTCAAGCTGCTACACAGGGGCATCGGGAAGAGTAATTATTTGAACCCAATTACGGTTGGTTTGTTTACTTATTTATACCCCACCTTTCTTCTTGATGAGGACCCAAAGGGGCTTATATCATTCTCCTCTCTTCTATTTCATCCTCACAACAACCCTGTGAGGTAGGGTCAGGCTCAGAGTGTCTGACTGGCTCAAGGACACTCAGACTGGTGTTTGAACCTGAATCTCCCACATCCTAGTCTGACACTCTAACCACGGCACCGCACTGATTTAGAGGTAAGACTGTTCTCAGGAGCCAATAGACAATGAAGAAACAGTGAAGCCTCACCTGACTGGCATACTCCTTGAGGACAGTAATGGTATCAAGATCAAAGGCAACATTTTTCTCTTCCACAGCCAATCCCTCCAGCCGCACATCTGCTTGCACTGCCAGAATGGTGCTGCTTGTGGCAAGGAAACAGGACGGTGTATAAAGGCTGTGGATCCATCTTCCAGCTGAATCGCTTCCAGGGTGTTGGGGTCATAACCCTCTGGAGGGGACCACAAACACTGTAGTAGCACATGCCAGCTCTAATTGCTACTTATCTACCTCTTGACCATTTAAGCGCTGGTAAGAGATGAAGAGTTAAGAGCATCAATGGCAGAATCTTAACTGCAGTTCAAAATTCAACCTTCATATACTACTGGACCCCCACTTCTACTTTACAGCTACAGATTTCCGCTTGAAACACATCAGTCCCTCTCTATATATACACAGGCAGCAAAGTAGAGGGCTCATGCACAGATGGTAATGAGCAGCCAAAAAAGAGCCTCAGCTTTCACATCCATGAAAAACAGAGTACAACAGCCAGGACTGAGGTATCAGCCCACCCAGCCAGGCAACAGTGGTGGGAACAGAGCCCAGAGGGGACACGTATGTCAGCCCACTGTTAAAGCTAGGATAAGCTAAACACCTAAAGACCAATCACAAATATAATGAGAGCCGTTAATATTTTTGCACAAATGGGATCCTGGATGAGAAATATGATGCTTGGATCAGGTAGCTCATATCAGCTCCTGAAGAAGCCACCAATGGTCTGCTGGATTCATCTGAGACAGTCCCTCCCATATCTTCCCTGAACCAATTAAAAACCTGTGTGAGCAAAGGGTAAGCCAAGAGAAATTATGACCAGGGCAAGGAGTCATCAACTTCAGAAGATCACCAAAAGCCCAATGAAATTCTGCTTGCTTACTGTTCTGTTTCTCTTTTATTTGCTGTTTTAAATATTTGGCACCGTAAGCCACATTGAATTATTTGGCAGAGGGATAGTATAGAAATGCAACAAATGAAACAAACAATTACATACATATATAAAAGAGTCCGTATCATGATTCCATCCACCCCATGAGACACAAGGAAGCTTTGCTGTGCTGTTGTTTTTTTCAGAGGGGGTGAGTGACAGTTTTTCACTCTGGATACCATATGCCATAGGGCTATGTGATGGGATACTAGCAGACTGTCTTTGCTATAAGTTAATCATCGTGGTTTTGAGCCAGAGTGGTACAGGCACAGCACATCTGCCTTCAAAGACATGAAAACTTTCACTCAGAAATGGAGCCAAATACTTGGGGGGACCTCTTGTTTTCTGAAGGTCTTCAGAATCCACTGAGTTCTAGTGGAGGCCGAACAGCCATCTGTCAGGGATGCTTTGGATTTCCCTCATGCAGCAAAGGGTTGGAGTAGATGGTATATAGGGCCTCTTCCAAATGTAGGATTCGCTAACTCGCATACCCTTTTGTATGGCTAAAATTAATTACTATTGTCAATGAATTCTTTAGACCTGTAAGCTACTTTGAATACCAAAGATGTGGGATCAAAATAAGTAAATAAACATCTAAGGTAAGGAGATGTAATGTTCTGCGGGGGTGGGGGGGAACACCCCCACACATACACATTGCCATGATCACATTTCTTGGAGGCCAGCCTCTTTATTACTTCACCTAATGCAAATTGTTCAAAGGAGGGGGGGGAGACTGAAAGCTACCTTTGGGTACATGGTGTATAAAAGCCATGGTGCCATCTTCCAGTGCAATTGGTTGACCATCTTCAAATGTGATAGACTCTACAGGGCAAATCAGAACACACAAACACAATGACAAAATTAACCCCGCTGCCAAGTCAGTATGTTCAGTTTGTTATGCAATGGAAAGTGAACAAGTCTCCTTAGACAAGACTACACTGTAATAGTTTGCAGCTAGAAACTTTGCCATGCCACTACAGTCTCTTGATGTGGACTGTTAAATACATTCAGCTTTCAGAGAAAGTTGAAGAGAATGTAGGTAATTCCAAAGAGGGAGCCATGTTAATTTATTCCAGTTTACGATACCATGAGTCAGAGCTCACTTCAGCAGACGTATTACCCCTGATATTACAGAACTTGCTTACTAAACTTTGTAATTTGTGCCTTCAGATTAATGGCACAGCCATGAGATACTGTGTGGCGCCTCCACCAGAGGCAATAGATGAGCCAATGCTTATTGTTAGCACTGCTGACTGAACCAAACTTTGTAATTTGTCATCCATAACGTCTTCAGATTGGGCTACAGCTTGTGCCTTCAGATTAATGGCACAGCCATGTAAACTTTGTAATTTGTGCCTTCAGATTAATGGCACAGCCATGAGATACTGTGTGACGCCTCCACCAGAGGCAATGGATGAGCCAATGCTTATTCTTAGCACTGCTGACTGAAGGCTCAACTGAGCAGTCCCTGCACTGCTGGTTTAAAACCCCACAGGAGCTGCTCGGCTTGGTTCATTCCTATGCCATTTAAACTTCCCCATCTGCCCCTGCAGCAATTTCTTCTCCTACCTCACCTCTGGGCAAGTTTACTTGTTGGATAAAAGCTGTGGATCCATCCTCAAGTTCAATCATTTGTCCTTCAATTAACTTTTCTTCTGAAAAAGCTGGAAAAAAGAACTAAATACAATAGTGAAAAGCCTCCCCAGATAAAAGGAATGAACGGCTCCACCAACCATCAGCTGATGAATCTTATGAAGGACAACAGTTACAAATTCAAGCGCTTATGTGAAAATTAGTCTTGCAGGTTTAATGAGAAGTCAGTCCTGCAAAATTCAATGCCTGTGGATACAGGATTATAGCCTATAATACAAGACAAAAGCAATGGAAAGAGTTTGAGAAACCCAAATAATACATATTTAGATTAGATCAAGATGGGTAGCCATGTTAGTCTGTCTGTAGCAGTAGAAAAGTCCAGTAACACCTTAAAGACTAACAAAATCATGGCAGGGTATGAGCTTTTGTAAGTGACTGCTCACTTCTTCAGATATCTGAAGACGTGAGCAGTGACTCAAGAAAGCTCATATCCTAACATATTTAGATGAGAAATTCCGAACACTTCTACCAACACTTTTGATAGCACTATCAAACAAGTAATCAATTATATGTTTTAAAACAAAATCCTGTAATAGTTTAAACACAGAACTGAAAGCTACCTAATTGGGGGGGGGGGATCTTTTAATTCCTGAAAAATAGCATGCTTTTTATTCTAGGCACATATGCAGCCTTAAAGCTAGGATATCCTTGATTTCAGAGCACCATAAAATTATAAAGCAGAACTCAAGTTGCTTTATGTAAGAACAGCTATGCTATATCAGACCAACAGTCCATCTAGCCCAGCATCCTGTTTATCACAATGACCAGCCAACAGTTCCTGGAACACCTACAAACTGGGTATGGTGGCCAATATCTCCTCTTACTGTTGGGTCCCAGCTCTTGTATCCAGAGGGTTACTGGCTCTGGGTTACAGGGAAGCTTCATTAAGTCATAATGGCTAATAGCCACCGACTGAACTGTGATTTGGTCTAATCCCCCTTAAAGCCACCTACCTAAACTAGTGGCCATCACTATAGCTGGGAAACAGAATTCCAAAAGTTAATTATTCACTGAATAATTACTCACTGAATTCTGTCTGATGTGAAACTACTGACTATCAACATATGTTTGCAGCTGCACCATGCTGGCGATTCGGAAACCATCTAGTGATCAAACAAAACTCACAGATCACTTTTATATTTTGTCCTTTCCCTCAGCATACATTTTAGCAATATCTCAGAAAATAATGCAGATTTTAAAAGACAATAAGCAAGATGTGATTTACAGGAGCTTTGTCTTATGGAAGACTGGTGGGACTGTGTTTCTGTTTTTCACTATTTTCACTATTTTTTTAATTATTCACTATTACTACTTACCTCTAACCAACAGATAAACCTTTTCCAGGTTCCCCAGTTCTCTCAAACCAAGAATTGCTGTGTGTCAGTTTTCTTCTTTGTTTTTACCTAAGGAGGGCTTTATGCCTAATAAATGAATAATTTCTCTAGAATAAAGTAGCTCAATAATATACTTTGAGAAAGGTTATCTTCCCATCATATATATGCAATGCATTGGGCATTACATATATGATCTCTAATTTGACTCAATTTCCCTTACGTTCAAGAGGCACCACAGCCCCAAAGTGACTCACCATGGGCATCTTGCTGAACAAAAGCTGTCATTGTCTGCAGTCCCAAGTTCTCCATTTTGCTCTGATGTTGCTCCTAAGACACGAATTCAACACAAAAGGTTTTCCTTTTCTGTTATAAAACTAAAATACATACGTCAATTTATATTTATCTCCTTCCCACTTCTTCTTACTGTGAATATAAAACAGGAAGTAGTCCAACTAGAATTTATTGGAAAGAATCAGAACCATTAATGGAGGACAGGTCTAAGGGTTGCAATTGACTCATGGCAACCCCATGAAGTTCCACTTCATAGGGTTTTCATGGCAAGAGATGTGCAGAAGTGATTTGCCACTGCCTTGCTCAGCATAGCAGCCCCGGTCTTCTTTAGTGGTCTCCCATCCAAGTACCAATCCTACTTAGCTTTCAGGTTCTAACAAGATCGGGCTAGTATGGGCTATTAGGACTGCTACCATCTATAAGTCTATACAGTCTATAAGACTGCAAACGGCTTTTAGCCATAATAGCTTAAATGGAGCATCCATGTTCAGAGGTAGTCTTCTAAGCCTGTGGGCTTCATAGAGGCATCTGCTGGCCAGTGTTAAGAATAGAAATGTATCTCTTTATATAGGAAACGTACACCCCTCTAGTCTATTTAAGCATACTCAAAGTGGCTTACATATAAAGCAGTAAGAACAGTCAATAAAACATCAATTGTAATAAAAATAATAAATACAGCTCACTAGGTTCATCAACGCCATCCATAAAATCAGCAGAATACAACCATCAGCATCACAAAAGATACCACACAGTCACCTCAGGATGACTTTTCCCAGCCATTTCATGTATCAGTCAATTATAAAACCTTCCAGAAACAATATCTTTACAACCTTACAAATCAGTATCTTTCATTTTACCACTAAGCATGAAAGGATAATGTGAACTACTTGGGAGGGGGGGATTCCTTCACTTAGGGATGACATCTGTTTCATGTAACCACCAAGCTCGCATCTGACAGGCTAAGATTCCACAGCACAGTGCTACTGACTGACCTTAGATTCTGGGCAGGTTCATACGGTGATCCTTCAGGTATTTTGGACTCAAGCTGCATAGGACTTAAAAACCAGCACTTTGAACTGGATTGAGAAACAAACTAAAAGCCAGCACAGCTAATAAAGTGTTGGTTCATCACACCAAATATCTGCTAGAATCCTAGCTATCACATTTTGTACCAACTGACATTTCTGAACACCCTTCAAAGGCAGCCCATATTACAGTAATCTAGTCTGGATGTGACCAAGGCATGTGTGGCAGCAGTCAGGTCCACTTTTTCCAGGAGCTGAGCTGGCAAACCAGCCTAAGCTGGTAAAAGGCACTCCTGCTCACCTCCACATCTAGGGTGCCCCCAAACTGTAAGCTTTGACCTTCTAAAGTAATTGCAACACATTCAAAACACGTTGTATATCAATTCCTGAGTCAACTGTACACCAATCTTGCCTAGACTGATTGTTCAGTTTGTTTTACTACAAGTAGTCCTTCACCAATTCAAAACACTGCTTCAGGATTTCTATCACTTCCCTAGAATGAGTGGGAAGGGGAAAGAGAGTTGGGTATTATCAGTGTACCGATGACACCACTCCAAATCTCAGGATGACTTTTCCAAGCCATTTCATGTAGACATTAAATAGCACTGGAAACAAGATGGAACCATGCAGTAACCCTGTAACCCAAAGCAAGAGGTAGACAGTGGCATTCCAGCACCCCTTTTTAAGATCTATCCTCTTGGAAGGGCTGCAGCTACTGTATAAAGATACCTCACAGACCCATCCTTAACAGTTAGCCCAGAAGGAGTGTTAATGATCATTGTACATAGTATCGAAAGCCACTTGGAGGTCTAGGGGAACCTGCAAAGATGCACTCCACCTGCTGGCCAAGCAATAAAGATAATCCATTAGGGCAACCAAGGCAGTTTCTAACCTGTATTGATTCTAGAAACCAAAATGGTCTGTATCTGAAACACCTGAAGATAAGAAGCTACCACTCTTTCAAGTATTTTGCTCCAAACTGATACATTTGTAACTAGTGGATAGTTATTTAAATCTATTGATCCAAATAGGGTTGTTTTTTTTAAGTAAAGGCTTTATAATGGCTTCTTAAAAGTGCAGGCATTAATCCTTCAGTTAATAAGGCACTGGTAACCTGCCTCATTCATTGAACTAATCCCCCATGTGGCAGATTTCACTAAAGAGCAGACAAGGTAAACAAGTGGGTCTCACATTTCTAAGTATTCTGTTCATGCTCTCAGGTCGTACTAATGGAAAGTTATCCATATGAGCACAGCAAGCAGAAATTTCAGTAACTTTAATTGCATATGCCATTAATGCTGTAGGATGCTGAGCAAGACAGATTTTGGGTCTGATCCTGCAGGGTGCTTCCCACATTAATATTACAAGATAAAATAGGAAGCAATCCTAAAGTGTTCTTGGAAGTAAGTTCCATTTTATTCAGTGGGGCTTACTCCCAAGAAAGCCTTCTTAGGACTGCAGCCATAGTGACATTTTCCAGCTTTTGGGGTAAGCAAAAGAAGAAGAAGCAGCAGCAACTGATGTGTAATATGCAAAGGTGTCTTTCTTTTTCTGGAATCTCCCCAGTTAAGGATCTGACAGAGCTATGATTCTTTGACTAGACCAACGAGAGTAGCTTACCTTATTTGAGTGCTGACAGTTTCCATTCTTCCCTGGTAAGAACATAAGTTTCACATTGGAGATCAGCAATTCAAAAAGTAGGGAACAAGAATGGATCAGCAGGTGATCCCAAAACTACTCTGTGCTTCATTTTACCTAAAAAACAAAAGAGTCCAGAGTATGTTGTGACTGTTCTGGTGAGACAAGAAGTTACTTCTGCAATGCAAGATGAAGCCATGACTAAAGCTCAAATTATGTTTTCTGGATGGTTTAAGTTATCAGAGGATTCCAGTAACAAACTGGGTCTGGCCTGACGTCAGAGTTATCAGAGGGTTCCAGTAACAAACTGGGTCTGGCCTGACAGTTGTTAAGATATCCCATCAAGCCAGCATTAAACCTGAATGTACACAAACCCAACTTGTTTCCAGGCTTGCATACACATCTCATACCTCTCCCCTCCCTTCTCACATGGAGCATGATGAAAAAACCTTGCTTTAACTGTACTTCTGATCACCTATGACATACAAATGCAGCTTAACTGGAATCAACCCCCACTCCCTCAAGCAAGGATTCTAAAACCAGGGTTCATTCAAACTTAGAATTCTGGTTTCAACGGGGGGAGGTGGTGGAATTAACTCTAGTTAAATCACATAGCTGCATTTGTAAGTTGTGGGCAACCACCAGAGTTAATTTTCTGTTCTGTATGAGATGGAATTTTTTAGGGGTGGGGACAAGGTATGAACCCAGCAACAAGTCAGGTTGATGCACATTTCATCAACAAGACATGATGCCTGAATGCTGCCCAACACAGAATTAAATGGTGCTAATGCAAAGAGACCTTTGAGTGCCCTTTTGCAGCAGCACAATGCTCTGCTGCCAGCAGCATATTCCCCACCTCCTCAAAGTCATTTCCCTGCTATTTCTCTCACATACCACACCCTTTTCCCTCAACAGCTGTCGCTGCCCAGAACCTGTCACTGATCTGGTTTGCCTATTTAGCTCTCCTTGGAGCATAGGCTGTACTACCATGAGCTAGTTATTCTGCCAGGGTTCAAATCCTTGTTCTGGGGTCACTTGTTTCTTCACTTGTTTATACTCATTTCCCCATGCACTCTGTGTCATAGATGCCCTTTAAATAATAATAATGCAATCATTAGCCTGGATAGGAGAACTCTTTACATCTGCTGCCACACAGCGGCTCCAGGGAACTGCTTTTATAAAAACAGAGAAGCCAAATGGGCTCAGAATGGCACCATGAGAGGAAGAAGGGCTCACACCCACCCCCACTGTTTTTTCACATAAAATTTACACTGGGGGAGAAGTTATTTTGCTGATAGCAGCAAAAAAGGTGAAATAATTCCACTCCCCTGTGTGGTTTTTCTGCAAAGTAACTGTTTGGGAGAGAAGGCAAGAGTCCTTCCTCCTCCTGCAGTACGGTTCAAGGCTCTTTGGGCTTTCCTTTCTTTTCATACAAGTGGTTTCCTGCAGCTGCTGTGCAACTGCAGGGAACATGGAAAAACAAGTGTAAACAGGTGAAGAAAGGTATCTTGTAGCTGATCCCTCTAGCTCAATGGGTAACCTCAGGCCAGTCACGCTCTCAGCCTTACCTACCTCACAGAGTTGTTGTTGTTGTTGTGAGGATAACATGGAGGAGGGGAAAATGATGTTGTAAGCTGCTGAGGGTCTCCACTGGGGAGAAAGGTGGGATATAAATATCTTAATAAAATGAAATTAGCTTAATTAAAATGGGTAGGCAACACTATTTTCAGACTGCAACTTGATTCATTCACATTTATTTACCTAGCCACTACAAAATGGATACAAATAAACATACAAAATTAAAGGAATGTCTTGATAAATCTAGGAGTCCATTAACCACACAACCATCTCTGAGATCTTCAAGAGTGAAACTTTAGAGAATAGTTAGAGACATTTTAATAGCAAAACTCAAAGGGATTAGAGTATAACTAGGGATATTTATTTATTTATTTATTATATTTATACCCCGCCCATCCTGCGAACAGGCTCAGGGCGGCTAACAAAGCGGTACAATGTACCTAATCGGCATAACCATACAAATTTTAAAACTGCATAAAACACATACTCATTCATGACATAATTATTGCATAGCTCAGGCTAACCTCATCAGATATTGGAAGCTAAGCAGGGTCAGCCCTGGTCAGTATTTGGAAGGGAGACCACCAAGGAATACCAGGGTCATGATGTGGAGGCAGGCAATGGCAAAGCACCTCTGAGCATCTCTTGCCTTGAAAACCCTACAAGGTTGCCATAAGTCAGCCGTGACTCGATGGCGAGAGAGAGAGAGAGACTGGAGATCTTCTTTGGTACTAAAAAAAAATAATCAAAGAACTTGGTATATCCGTAGCTACGTAA